TGTAGAGCGCTTGCCTTGCATGCATGAGGCCCTGGGTTTGATTCCTCAGCACCACATAAGCAAAAAGAAAAAAGCTGGAAGTGGCACTGAGGCTCAAGTGGTAGAGCGCTAGCCTTGAGCTGAAGAGCTGAGGGACAGCGCCCAGGCCCAGAGTTGAGGCCCACGAATGGACCAAAAAAAAAAAAAAAAATCAGACAGTCTTGTCTAAATGGCCTTCTTACTCCTCCTTCACCTTCCTCACAACGTTTGTTTAAATAGGTATGTGGATCCCATACACAGTTAGTTAACTATCAACAGAGGTTTCAGATAATCAAAGGATAAAGGAAGAAGTTAAAGAATTACCATAATATGAAGGCTAGGGATGTGTGGGACAAGTTGTAGAACACCTGTCTAAAAAGCAGGAGGCCTTGAATTCAAACTGGAGTACTGCAGAAAAGAAGAAATCTGAGATCCAGGACTTCTTAAGGACGTCAGTGTTTTTCTTACCTATGAACAAATGATAACTTAGTCCTGGACCATTTAGAAGTTTTACTTCTAATTTTGTGTCTAGCACTGTGATGACCCTTAAGACTCATTAATGAATCTGGAATTACTTAATAGTTAATAAGTGTTAGATCAGGTCCCGAAGCTGGGTAGCACTGAAGAAATGGGAACAGGGAGTGTCAGGTGATTTATGACAGTGCTTTGCAGAAGTGATTGGTTGAATCAGAATCATGTTAGTAACTTTAAAGCAAAACCTGTAAAGATTCAAAAGTGCTAAGCACTGATGGCTCAGGCTTGTAATCTACTTAGGAGATCTGAGCATTTTGATTCGAAGCCATCCCAAAGTCTATGATACTCATGAATCTATGGCTCAAGTGGTAAGAGTGCTAGTCTTGTGTGAAAGAGCTTAAGGACAACTCCCAAGTCCTGAGTTCAAGCTCAGTACCAGCATAAAAAAAACTAAAAATATTCAGAAGAGGTCAGGCATGATGTTAACACCCATTATCCCAGACATAGGGAGGCTCTGCTCCTGTTTCATCTCATCTCGGAAGACAAGGAGTTCCCAGAGTCATTGTCTTCTTCTCCTCCTACCTCCCCACCCTTTGGCAGTCCTGAGGCTTGAACTCAGGGTCTGGGCACTGTCCCTGAGTTTCTTTTGCTCAAGGCTAGCACGCTAGCACTCTACCACTTGAGCCACAATGCCACTTCAGACTTTTTCTGTTTATGTAGTACTGAGGAATCGAACCCAGGGCTTCATGCATGCTAGGCAAGCACTCTACCACTAAGTCACATTCCCAGCTCCCGCCCCCCTCTTTTAAACATTTCCTGTCTTGTTTTTAATAAAACTAAGTTTTCTAGCTACTCAGGAGGCTGAGATCTGAGGATTGCGGTTCAAAGCCAGCCCGGGCAGGAGAGACCGTGAGACTCCTATCTCCAATAAACCACCAGAAAACCGGAAGTGGCGCTGTAGCTCAAGTGGTAGAGCGCTCGCCTTGAGCTGAAGAGCTGAAGGACAGTGCCCAGGCCCAGAGTTCAAGCCCCCGACAAAATAAATAAATAAAACTAAGTTTAGGAACCATTTGCCATTCTCATTGACTACTTTCTACTTCTGCCTCTAAATACAAAAAAGTAGACTGAGCAGATCAATCACAGATTGAGGAGAAGTGTTAGAAGCTTCAGACAATCTCACAACAAGTCTCTTTGCCCCTGAAGGTTCAATTAGCATACCTAAGAAGATTCAGAAAAAATACATAGTGTCTGCCAGGAGTTTCATTCTTGACTAAGACATATTCTTTCCTCAAGCTTACGTAAAAAAAAAAAATTTTTTTTTTCAGTGTGGGGCTTGAACTCTGGGCCTGGACACTGTCTCTGAGCTCTTCAGCTCAAGGCTAGCGCTCTACCACTTGAGCCACAGTGCCGCTGCTGATTTTCTGGTGGCTAGTTGGAGATAAGAGTCTCATGGACTTTCCTGACCAGGCTGGCGTTGAACCGAGATCCTCAGATCTCAGCCTCTTGAGTAGCTAGGATTACAAGGGTGAGCCACCAGTGCTGGGCTTAAATTATGTCTTTCTTTTTTTTTGTTTGTTGGTGGTGGTGGTGGTGGTGGTCGTGGGGCTTGAACTCTGGGCCTGAGCGTTGTCCTTCAAGGCAAATGCTCTACCACTTGAGCTACAGCGCCACTTCCTAAATTATTTCTTATAAATTAATTTTGGCAGTATTGGGGTTTAACCTCAGAGCCCCACATTTGCTAACCTAGATTACAGGCATGAGCCACCCGCACCCAGCTTAAAATGCATTTCTTACATGGGGCGTTAAAATTCAGCAGAGAGGGCTGGGAAGTTGGCTCAGTGGTAGAGCGCTTGCCTTGCATGCCTGACGCCCTGGGTTCGATTCCTCAGCACCACATAAGCAAAAAGAAAAAAGCCAGAAGTGGCGCTTGTTGCTCAAGTGGTAGAGTGCTAGCCTTGAGCTGAAGAGCTGAGGGACAGCGCCCAGGCCCAAAGTTCAGGCCCCATGACTGGACCCAAAAAAAAAAAAAAAAGAAATTCAGCAGAGATGTAACAGAACCCCTTAGGTATGAAGTCACTGATATTCAGTTGTAAAACTCAACCTGGCAAAATAGGCAAAAATCTCTTCAACCATTTGTCAAGAATTCTTTTTTCTTTGTCAACTTGTGGTGTCATTGATAGTTTAATTTCATTGGTAGAGAAAGAAATTGAAAAGAAAAGGATAATGTAGTGATAATGTCCTAAGATGATGGGATATGTAATTATTTATCACCTTTCAAGAAGAGAGGATATAGTAGTTAAGTGGAGGAAACAGTCCTTCACTAACACATTACCTGTGGCCTGGCCACACTTGCTGGTTTGGGTATTTCCAGCTGTATTGTTGCCATGACAGCACGTTTGTCATCCCACTGTTTCCCTCTGCTCTCTCATAAGTCAGTTAACAGTCTGTTTCAGGATGAAGTTTTTGCTGTCTGGGCTAAAGCAGTTAGACTTTTTCTTCCATCTGACAGACCAGGCCATTTGGCTCCCTGATTTATTCATCCTGATGTTCCATCTACTATAGATGACTACCTCCGATTCTTGATTGGATCTTTGGAAGTTTTATTTCCCCAAGGACTTGATCTTCTCTACTTCTGTTTGAAACACATTTCCTTTCTCTGGGAATAGGAGCTATAGCCAGGTCCTCCTCTTCAGTTTCCTTCTACTTTTCTCTGTTGATGTGGTTAGAAGGCTCTCTACTTTTTCCTCAAGAATAGTAGAGGGAAAGGCGTATACGGGCGGAGAAGGTAGTAGGTCCATATTTAGCTGAAGAGTACAGATCTTCAAGAGGAAGGTGCTTTCATCACATGGCAACCAAGGTGAGATGGCCCATTAAGATCGTTCTGTCAGCTGGGTGGTCGTGGCTCACGCCTATAAATCCTAGCTACTCAGGAGGCTGAGATCTGAGGATTGCGGTTCAAAGCCAAGCCCCCTCAGGAAAGTCCATGAGACTCTTATCTCCAATTAATCACCAGAAAGCAGGAAGTGGCTCTGTGGCTCAAGTGGTTGAGCACTCACCTTGAGCTGAATAGCTCAGGGACAGCACCCAGGCCCAGTGTTCAAGCCCCAGCTCAGGGACAGCACCCAGGCCCAGAGTTCAAGCCCCATGACTGACAAAAAAAAAAAAAGGATGAAACTGTCATTTGAACATTTTTTTTTTTTTTGGTCGATCACTGGCCTGAACTCTGGGCCTGCACACTGTCCATCAGCTCTTCAGCTCAAGGCTGGCACTTTACCACTTGAACCACAGCACCACTTCCAGCTTTTTTCTTTTTGCGTATGTGGTGCTGAGGAATCGAACCCAGGGCCTCGTGCATGCAAGGCAAGCACTCTACCACTGAGCCACCTTCCCAGCCTGAACATCTTTTAAGATGAGGGAATTCAGTATTTTTAACTGGAGTGTAAACTTAGTTTTTAACTTTATAGGGGTAGTAAAAGGATTAAGAAAGGGTGTTAATAGAGTTAATAAAGATATTTGTGGAGGAATAAGAATCCCAATAATTGGCTTAAGACCCCAGGACACCCATCCCAATAACATGAGCCTATGATAGAAAAGGTTGGTCAGAGAGACTTGTGAATGGGAATTACCCCTCTTTTCTCTCCTTTCTCCCCCCCAACCCCCCCCCACCCCCAATCAAGAACTTTCTGTCAAGAGAGTCTACTTAGGAGCTAGCTGCCATGTCCACAATCACTGCCAAACTTTACACAGGATCCTAGCTGCTTTGTTACCGGTGATCCTGCCGTAAGTGTCTTATGACATTTATAGAATTGTACCTCACTCTAAACTTACCCTTTTGTCTTACAGCAGCCAGTAAGGAGGAGAAGGGGAGAGAGCTCATTTGATATTAACAACATTGTCATCCCTATGTCTGTTGCTGCAACAACCCGTGTAGAGAAACTACAATATAAGGAAATCCTTACTCCCAGGTAGAAACCCTAAGTAATCAGCTCCTTGCCCTCACTTGGTATCATTGACCTGTTTTCCCATCCCTTCTGAACAAGTTTTGGGCCCTACTCATGGAAGATCTTGCCAGGTACCTGTAATTCCAACTACTTAGGAGACTTGAGATATGAGGATCAAGATACAAAGCCAACACAGGCAGACAAGTCTAGGAGACTCTTACTTCCAACCAGCCAGCAAAAACAAACATAAGTAGAGGTGTAGCTCAAGTGGTAAGAGTGCCATCCTTGAATGAAAAAGCTAAGGGAGAGTGTAGTGACCTGATTTCAAGCCTCAGTACTGGCACCCAAAAAAAGTCTTAAGCTGGTTTGCAGCCGTCTTTGGTCGTGGCTCCCGCAGCTCTCCACAATGGTACTATCTAATTCTAGCAATTAGAAGGGTAAGGCAAGAGGGCCATGTTAAAGGCTAGCCTAGGCTATCAAAGCAAGACTCTTGTCTAAAAAAATAAAAAAGATAGCCGGGCACTGGTGGCTCATGCCTGTAATCTTAGCTAGCTACTCAGGAGGTTGAGATCTGAGGATTGAGGTTCAAAGCCAGCCCAGGCAGGAAAGTCTGTGAGACTCTTACCTCCAATAAACCACTAGAAAACCGGAAGTGGTGCTGTGGCTCAAGCAGCAGAGCGCTCGCCTTGAGCACAGGGACAGAGCCCAGGCCCAGAGTTCAAGCCCCACGACCGACCAAAAAAATAATAATAATAAAATAAAAATAAATTAAAAAGATGAAAAAGGTCTTACCTGATAAGACTAAAATTATTTCTGTGCATATTTTTTTTCTTATTCCTTATGTAGTTTCATCAACCAGACTGGAGTTTAGAACCTGAGGCCTCTGGCCATTGTGGTCTATAAACATGTTTTATACCAAAAACAATGCATTTTTAAATATTGACTTCATTGTCAATATCAAAGAAGGATTTCACATATAAATCTTTTGTTTTTTACCAGTCCTGGGGCTTGAACTCAGGATCTGGGCACTGTTCTTGAGCTTCTTTTTTGCTTAAGGCTATTAGCACTGTACTACTTGAGCCACAGTGCAAGCTTTTTCGGTTTATGTGGTACTGAGGAATCGAACCCAGTGTGTTAACGCATGCTAGGTAAGCACTTGTACCACTAAGCCGCATTCCCATATGATGCCAGTCCAGTGGTATGTCCCAGATAAACAAGTTCCTTAGCCTGGCACGGGTGCAGGGGGAGGCACAGTACATACCTATAATCCTAGCATTCATGAGGCTGAGCACAAAAATTACAAAGTCAAAACTAGCCTGTTTTGCATAGCAAGACCCTGCCTTCAATTTAAAAAAAATTAAATTAAATTTATTTGAATTTGCCAGTCTCTCAGACCCAACCCCAACAACAAGCTTATTTTTTCTTATTTTTTGTAGCTGGCGGGAAGTTGATCTTCAGTCTCTGAAGGGGAATCCTGATGAGGAGAATGAGGAGGTAAAGGTCAACTCTGAGGATCACACATGGGTACATAAAATCAAGATGCCTCAAAGATTTGTGGGTGTTGGGTACAAGCTCCTTGTATTCCTGGCCTGACCAGGAAGAGTCTGGAATGGGATGGGGCTGTTCTAGAATTACTCTGCCTATTCTCCAACCCAGCTTCCTGTGGGAAACAGGATCAGGGAAGGTATTCTGTTGCAGATTGAAGACCTGTCCGATGCTGCCTTTGCAGCTCTACATGCCAAATGTGAGGAGATGGAGAGGGCACGATGGCTGTGGACCACAAGTGTGCCACCCCAGCGACGGGGCAGCAGGTAACAGTCCCAGAGCCTGTGGAGGGAGGGCAGACAGGGAATTTGAGCCTTACCTGTGTCCACTAGTTCCTCTTCCTCTTTATACTCAGCTACTCCGTGGCTGAGAATGAGAGTTGAACATGAAAGAGGAAAAGAGGTGGACATCAACATAGAAGAGGAACTATAAGTAATTAAATGCTAGTTCCTCCCTAAGTTGTCTGTCCAGTTTTCTTAAATTGTAGACATTGCTTGTGATACCTGTCATATGTCATGATTTAGCCAGAGGAGACTTGAAGGCCTTAGAGGTTAAGATAGTGACTAGTTTTGTGATCCCACTTCAGAGAACTGTCCCCCATCTCCGGTTATCTTGAGTACAGTTTTCAAAGTCTGAACCAGTTTCCCTAACCCCGTGGATTTATTAGGTATTGTGCCAGAGATTAGATTTCGTATGTACCTAACTATATGAACAGAAGGGGAAGGAAATGGATCTTAAGAAAGCAGTATTGGTATTAGTCAGTATCCTTTAGCATAAGGATGCTTTTTTTCATGTTTTCCCAACCTACCACCAGAAATGAACATTCAGTAATCCTCTATTGCCCAGCTGTTCTCACATCTGCATTCCTTGGTATACAGGTCTTATAGGTCATCAGACGGCCGGACCACCCCCCAGCTGGGCAGTGCCAACCCCTCCACCCCACAGCCCGCCTCCCCTGATGTCAGTAGTGGCCACTCTCTATCAGAATTCTCCCATGGTCAGTCCCCTAGGAGCCCCATTAGCCCAGAACTGCACTCGGCACCCCTCACCCCTATAGCTCGGGACGCTTTGAGACACTTAACCAGTGAAGACACCCGTTGTTCCACACCAGAATTGGGGCTGGATGAACAGGTAAGTGACAACCACCTTTGCCTTTGCATAGGGTTGGTGAGGTGGGAAGAGGGGTGGCAAGTATGGAAAAGGTCATCCTTGGGCTGTCCCTAAGAACTCTACATAGACTGGTTGTGGGCTCCAATCCACACGTTTTATGGCAAGATCTTGTGGACAAGAAATAGGCAGGGCCTGTGTCCTTACCAAAGCCACTTGTCTGCCCACAGTCTGTCCAGCCATGGGAGCGACGGACCTTCCCCCTGGCGTACAGTCCCCATGCAGAATGTGAGGACCAGCTCGATGCACAGGAACGGGCAGCCCGTTGCACTCGTCGCTCCTCAGGCAGCAAGACTGGCCGGGAGATGGAGGTGGCACCCACCTCGCCTCCCATTGTTCCCCTCAAGAGTCGGCATCTAACAACAACAGTCACAGCCCAGCGCCCAACTCACAGATGAGCGGGAGATGAGAATCTAAACAGACTCACTACTATTGGCATTAAAGCTTCAGAAATCTCTGCGTTTGATATTCAAACATCATATGCCGGAAATTTTCACAGTTTTTAGTGAATTTAAGGAACTTAGGCCCTCCTTTGGTTTTTTTGTTTTTCTTGTTTTGATTTTTGCTTTGTTTGTTTTCATGTTTTCTTATCACACACCTGAGCACTTCCTCCAGTTGGCAGAAGTTCAGGATAAGACCCTGTAGGCCTGGTCCTGGCACATCTGTGCACTGTTGAATCACTGGACTTCCCAATGTTAGATGATTATCCTCTCCCTTAAATCTGTGGGCTGGGTGGACTGGCCAAATAGGCAGCATGGAAAGCTTCAGTTGAGCAAAGGACAGGATGGAGCAAGGGCGCTTGGAGCTCCTACCCTCCCCCGCCATCCATGGCTTTGGCCTCAGCTCTGGCTGGATCCTCCATGGTCTGTGTTGAAGCCGCCCACAGGACCTCTTTGCCATAATTACCAGTTGTTCTTATGGGGCTCTGAGCTGGCAGAAAGGCTTCCCCTTGTCACCTAGACCTTGACATATTTTCCCTTTCATCTACATTTGGTCATCTCTGTCTTGACTCACTGCAGTAACCTGCAGCTGCTCAGGTTCCCCCATCCTGCTCCCTCCTTTCCTTCCCTTACTGCTCCCTCATGTCACGTGTGTGTGTGTGTGTGTGTGTGTGTGTGTGTGTGTGTGTGTGTGTGTGTGACGCACGCGCACACACACACACACACACACAGAGTCCACTTGGAATGTAGTTAGTACCTATCCTGATCTATGGAAGGTATGGTTAGGACTGCTTAGCCACTCCCCACTGCCCTGCACATGGAAGTTAGGGGAGTGCGTGCCATCTCTCCTGGATCATTGTTTTCACTGACTGGTTCACTTGGCTGTTGCCTGCATCTCCTGTTCCCTGTCAGTTTCAGGCTCCTTCCCTTTCTTACTCCTCTTGCCTATGAAACACTGTCTGGTCCTAGCTGTGGTTTCTATCACTCCCCATTGCCCTCCTGTGTAAACCTCGTGCCTGTCTCATGTATAATCTCATCACCAAAAAGGGGGAGGGGGGAAGGACTTTTTTTTTTCCTGCCATTTTGTAATCGTATAAAAATAGTAGACAAACTGCTTAATGGTTGGGGTTTTTTCACAATTTTCAACATTAGTGATTTTTTTTTGTTTCTGTTGTAAGTTTAAAGGTTTGTCATTGTTTCTTTAAACAATAATAATGCACCATATCCCTATGCATAAAGTGCTTCTTCTATTTATAAGGTTGAAAATTCTGAATAACCCTTTTAGCATTGTAAAAAAAATTTAAAAGACCTTGTATTTTGTAAATATTTTCTTTTCCTGCTTTGAGCTGTGTAATGGCAGCGAAACATGTAGCTGTCTTTGTTCTATAGAAATGCTTTTCTTCAGAGAAGCTGATCTTTGTTAATGTCTTGATTCTGTTCGCAAAGCACAGACTAGTGCTTAAAAAAAAAAGAAGGAAAAAATGAAAAAAATAATAATAAAAAAAGTTACAGAACATTGTGTGTCAGGGCCTTTCTTGGCATATTGGTGTACATGACAGTGGTGGCAGCTTTGGAGCAAGCTCTGCTAGATTGGTTCTTCGGGACTTTGTGACTTTGAACCTTCAAAAGTCTCCCTTCTGTCTTGTGGGAATGTAGTAGTATGTTATAGTCACCAGAGAGGAGTTGGTGGTTTTTGCTAATGTCGGGTGCTGGAAGGAGAGAGCAACACAGCACTACGTGTACATGCGTGCATGCTGGTCCTGGGGCTTGGTTAAAGGCTAACACTCACTTGAGCCAACTCCACTTCCAGCCTTTTGGTAATTTATTGGAGCTAAGAGTCTCATAGACTTTCCTTCCCAGGCTGGCTTTGAACTACAATCCTTGGATCTCAGCCTCCTGAACAGCTGGGATTACAGATGTGAGCCACTAACACCCAGTGGCCATCTACTTTTCATTCTTTTTAATAATTCATTGTTTCTTGTTCCTTTCTCTAGTGAGACTAGGGCTCTACCACTTGAGCCACAGCACCACTTCCGGCTTTTTCTGTGTATGTGGTTCTGAGGAATGGAACCCAGGGCTTCATGTATGCTAGGCAAGCACTCTTATGCCTCTTCTAAATTGCTCTTTAATGGAGTTTTTATTTTTTACCACTGGGCTTTTCTGGAGTTGGGGTAAATATGAATTATAGAATGCATATGATATTCATAGCCCTTGGGTTCGTTCTTGGCTTGCTACCCTGAGATCAGTGTCTTTCTTCTGAGAGGGATAAGGGCCTGATTTCTTTTGTACAAGATGAATGGGGGGGGAGGCTGCCACCCTAGCAGTTTCTGAAACTTGTGTGTAAGGGCTAGGGATGTGTCTAGTAGTAGAGACACACCCTGCCTAGCCAGTCAGGTGAGGCCTTGAATTCAGACCCAAGTAAAACAACATGAAAAGGAGAAAATCTAAGGACCTTGGCATAACTACTAAACAAGTTACTGTTTTTCTTCCACTTTGTGGTGTGGCATTACCATCTGCCATCACTATCTTAGGTTAGTTGAACTCCTCTTCAGCCTACAAAGAATGTTCCAAAGGAAAGATGTATATAAACCTGGCCATTTCATTTGACAATCTTGGTTTTTCTGCTTTAGCCTCTGACCTACATAATTCCTAGGAAGCAAAGATCTCATATACCTACCCAACTTCCTAAGGTTTGAATGTAGAGGCATGACTCTTCCAGACAGTGCAGCATTGTGAGGTCAGCCACAAAGTATAGATTGCTTTTTTGAGTTGGACCAGGATAATATGGTTTGGTTAAATCAGAATAAACAGATTTGAATTCCCAGGCCTCAGAAAGATGTAGTTAATTTTGTTGTACAGTTTTTTTTTCAGGCTTTTAAAAAAATAACCTGTATTTAACATATGCATTACAGAAAACATATAAGCAAAGAACAAAGTATTACTACCACAGGCAGTTCAGTTGGACATGCCTAGATCCTCCATGTACACACGCCAATCCTTTTTAGGTAACTGATAGTATGGTATGTGTCATGCTGACCAATTCAAAATCCCAAAAGCTACATGAATACTACACCAACTCAATCTGGTAAAAATAAATAAATAAAAATCTTAGGGATAAAAACTTCACTGAAGACAAAAACAGCAACAGGTTTCTAGGCAAAAGTATTGGCAGAATTACAATTAAGATACTGATGCGTTTCCTTTATGTTCAGAATGAGATATAAAGCAAGATAAACTAAGCAATTCCTAAGTTCATTAGTAGTATAGCATACTATTAAAATATTAAGAAAGTATGGTTCTACTAAGTATATGTATCCTTACGGGTGCAACTAGAACCATCTACATCAGTGACTCTCATCAATAAAGTGTAAATCTGAAGCTGGGCACTGGTGGCTCGTGCCTATAATCCTAGCAACTCAGGAGACAGATCTAAGAAAGTCTGTGAGACTCTTATCTCCAATTAACCACCAGAAAACCAGAAGTGGTGCTGTGGCTCAAGTGGTAAAGTGCTAGCCTTGAGCTGAAGAGCTGAGGGACAGCGCCCAGGCCCTTAGTTCAAGATCCACGACTGATTTTCCAAAAAGAAAAAGTGTAAATCTATGCCTATACACATCTTTCCCTGCAGGCTTCCTCTTCCTCCCTCTGCTGCCAGCCTCTAAATAAATCCTGACTCCATTGCCCAGAAGTGCCAATCCAAGATGGATGTGTTGATTCTAACAGATACTTAGAAGTTTATTTGCTAGCTCTACTTTTTATCATACACTGTCACCCCAGAACATCTATAAAGATTAGATGTCCTAAAATAATGAACTTTGGGTATGAATATAAGTACTTCACCAAACATGCTAGATGTGGAGATACAAAGAGCCCATCCCTCACCTTCCTCTTCCTCTTTTCTGTCTACAACACTCCAGATTCTAAGTCTGAGATAAAGACTGACTAAATTCACTCCCAGAAGAGTTTTTCCTAAAAACTAAGCAAAGGACATTTATAGGGATTATTTTCTACTTCTTACTTTGTCATTAGGTCTTATCCCTTAATACTTAGCAATATTAACTAAAATATACATATAGAACAAAGTCTAGACAATGATCTAGGCCAACAATGGTCACAAGATAGCCTTCTCTTTGCACATTTCCTTCCCCAACTGTCCCTGCCACCTCTGTCCCTTCCCAGCCCACTACCTTTACTTTTAACATACTGTGAGTACTTCTAAACATCTAGAGACACCAGATGCTTCAAATAAGGATTTAATTGTTCACTGTATTGTTGAATAAACCACACACATGTAACATTGATTCTATGTGAAAGTATCTTCTAAGTGGGAGCATTCTAGCCCAGAACCTTTCATTTCTTGAGTCCTCTCCAGTATTACCCTTGATACAGGTACATAGTCCTTTTCAGAAGACAGTCTTTCTTTTTTTTTTTTTTCTTTTTGATTCTGGTCATGGTGCCTGAACTCTGGGCGTGGGCGCTGTCCCTTAGCTCTTCAGCTCAAGGCTAGCTCTCTACCACTTGAGCCACAGCACCACTTCTGGCTTTTTTCTTTTTGCTTATGTGGTGCTGAGGAATCGAACCCAGGGCCTCTGGCATGCAAGGCATGCGCTCTACCACTGAGCCACCTTCCCAGCCCAGAAGACAGTCTTTTTTTTTGTCGGTCGTGGGGCTTGAACTCTGGGCCTGGGCACTGTCCCTCAGCTCTTCAGCTCAAGGCTAGCGCTCTACCACTTGAGCTACAGCGCCATTTCCAGTTTTCTGGTGGTTTATTGGAGATAAGAGTCTCACGGTCTCTCCTGCCCGGGCTGGCTTTGAACCGCAATCCTCAGATCTCAGCCTTCTGAGTAGCTAGGATTACAGGCGTGAGCCACCAGCGCCCGGCTAAGACAGTCTTTCTAACATGAAGTATACGTGTGCTTATTAGCTCCTTTGTCATACATTGGCCCCCTCTTTAATATCTACAAACTAGACATTATAAAATAGAACTCATTTGTCTAGTCTATACACCAATACCTTACAGCAAAGCTAAATGAAATGTATATAACATACAGGGTAAAGGATAAGCTGAAATTATCTTGCACACACTAACAACATATTTTGCAGCAGTTTCTTTTCCATTACCCTTCTCAATCCAGTGAAAAAGTGCAGACAGTATACTGCTCAGGCTAGCTCCACTTCCAGCTTTTTCTGCTTATGTGGTGCTGAGGAATTGAACCCAGGGCCTCATGCATACAAAGCAAGCACTCTACCACCAAACTATCTTTCCAGCCTCTAGCAACTCCATTTCTTTTTTTTTTTTTTTGGGGGGGGGGGCCGGGCGGGGGGCCTGAACTCTGGGCCTGGGTGCTGTCCCTCAGCTCTTCAGCTCAAGGCTAGCACTCTACCACTTGAGCCACAGCACCACTTCTGCTTATGTGGTGCTGAGGAATCGAACCCAGGAATTGAACCCAGGGCCTCAGGCATGCAAGGCAAGCGCTCTACCACTGAGCCACCTTCCCAGCCCCTAGCAACTCCATTTCTTAACAAGGTATTTCCCCAAGTTTTGCAATTACAGAGTTAGTCTACTTGTACCTTTTTTTTCCCCCCTCTTTGGGCTTGAACTCTGCCTGGGTTCTGTCCCTGAGCTCTTCAGCTCAAGGCTAGCACTCTACCACTTGAG